TTTAGTTGTTCTTAAAGTATCTAAAATAAATTTGTTAAGAACCATTACAGTGTCTTTGCCACTAAGTTTTTTTTTTTCCTTGAAGATGTTTTACCGGCTCAGTTTTGCAATGCAAATTGCAAACTGAATCAAAGTAACACATTATACAGCTCTATTGTGTGTGTTTCTTCACCTTTTAGCAACTTGATACTGATGTTAATTTTAAACCCGCTGTTCATAGTCACCCTTGTTGGTGGTACATGTTGTAAAAATGTAGCTGATGCAAAATATTCAAAACCTATCAAAAGACAGATGAGCACGAGTGTCATTTTTACCAACAAATCTTGTCTTTGTGAAATGCATACAAGTTTTCAACATGTTCGCTCATTGAATGAGCAAACATGTTGCAAACTTGCTTGCACATAACTAAATTTTTTTTAGTTTTAAAGTTGTATGTACTTAAGGACAAATCTAGTAAACTGTAGCATTTTTTTTTTGCCTGACAACTTTCCATTTCTAAACTGTAAATAAAGTTTAATAATTTTTATATATAGTATTTTGCTTGTGGCTTTCTACTGAAATTTGCAGTTTACAACATAAGCTTTAAAAAATAAAAGAGCAAATACCAATATAAAGGAATATAGACATTCGAGAGGAGAATAAAGATACTAAATAACTAGTAATGTCTTGAAATTTAGTTAATAGAATGATTTTTATTTCCTTTATAAGTATTTAACTAATTTAATGTTTTAATACATATTTCAATAACATTTATAATAACTTGCTAAATGTTTAAAAAAAATAATAAATAACCAACTTGCTACAAAAACAAATTGATCGGTTTTGGGTATACTCTAAATACCATTATGTATATAATACAGTGTTTACAAGAGTAATTACAGTATAAAGGTTGCACTTGCTGATAATAAAGCATTTATAAGTGTTAAAATCAAAGTTATCAGTTGTAAAATAGGACATTTTTAAAAAAACCCAAATATATTTTGGGTTTTTTTGGGTTTTATTGGGTTTTTTTAAGGTGGGTTTTTTTGGGTTGGGTTTTTTTGGGTTGGGTTTTTTTGGGTTGGGTTTTTTTGCCAACCCTGCATTTGGTTGACTGTTAGACGCAATTTTTAAATAATTTACTTATAAGAAAATGAAATAAACTTCTTATAGCTTAGTATTGTTTAAAAATTAAAAACATTTTCCGATTTATTTTTATGAATATCAAATTATTTTACACTAATATTACGCAAAAGTCGGTACAAAAGCAGGTTTTAGACGCCAATCCATGGCAAAAAATGCATGCCTTGTGACAAGTCCACCAGCGTTACACCGTACCCACTGCAAAGAGGTGTATTTATGCTGTTGCCATTAATTTTTTATTTATTGATGTTATCGTTTACATAGAATTTTCTTTAAATAAGAGTGAGTCTATTCGCACGCACGTGTGAATAGACTATATCTTACTATAGCAAATTCGCACGTTTAAAAAAAAAATTCAAGTCAGATTTTTAATATGAAATCTCTCAAAAACAAAAAATCTTTATAACTTAAGTCATATATTTTAAAAGCAATTTATTTTTTTTAATCAATTATAATAAAAATAAATAAAATCACTTAAATATAATTAAATTTTATTCAAAAAACAAACAAAAACGTGCCAATAGGTAAAATAAACATTAAGAAATACTTCTTTTTTTTAATTAAAAGATTTCCTGCCCAAGCTGAAACCCTCGTCATTGTATTTATACTACAATGTGCCTATCCCTAGATAAGCAGTCAATATGTATATACACCACGGTGCGCATATCCTTCAAATGTCAGCTAACGTAAGTACTGCGTTATTACTCCACTGCGCTACTTTAATTTTAAAGTTATAAACAAATAATAATAAATATAATTTTTTTAAAATTCCCTTTGAATTCGATGATTTTTACATTTTTTTTTAATTAAACGTGCGAAAAAAAAATATTTAAATATAGTTTGTTCGCACGTGCAAATAGACACTCCGTTTAAATAATTCGCCGGTCGACTAAATCGGCTAATATATTTTCTGAAGTCGACTAAAATCGACTAATACATGGACTAAATGTCGATTTAGTCGAAATATGGGAATAATTCGTTTTTTGAAATAAATTGTCATAAAAGTTATAAAGTAATTTATTTTCATTTTTCATTTTTTAGCATCATACCATTTAAATGTTAGTTAGTGATTACTACAGAGCACCAAAAAGAGTAGACTCTTTTTGGTAATAGCGAATATGCTATTGCATAGCATATTCGCAATAATGCAAATATGCTTTGAAATAGATAAAACCTTTAGGGAGTAAACAAAAAATAGGTATTAGATATAATTACAGAAACCATACTTCTTAAAATAGCCAAAATACTTTAGTTAAATAGCCAGTCAGTATGTACACTGCCACCGGCAAATAATAAGAAAATTTTAGCAAGTTCTGAAAGATAATGTTTTGCGTTTTTTGTAAGGGTTTTCTCTCAAATTTAAGCGAATGGTTTCACGTAAAAACTATTATCATTCGCAATTGGAACTCTTTATTTTTACATCTTCATAAGTGTGCATTTTTTTGTAGAGATTAGTTTGATCGTTTTCAACGTTTTTCTTACAAATTAGAGCTGAATCATCGCCGGTGCTACAAGTCACCTTTCCACATTGTTCACCTTTTGCATCGTTCACCTTTCACTGAGATTTCTTGCATCGTTTTATTGCAACCGTATAATTTCCCATTAAAGTTTAACCATGTTTTAAATTTCGGTTGGAATGAAGATCTATCTATCTTAACTACTAATATTAACTCTGAAATGCAAATACTTTTATTTTTATTTTTTATTTTAGATGCCCCAAGAAATCCTTACGGTATTATAACAGAGCACCGTGGAAGAGCACTTACCTATAACAGAGCAGGGTGGAAGAGCACTTTTCCTTACCGATCTTATAGAACTTGACGAGAGGTGGCATTGAACCACAGATCTCTCGCTTCTGAGGCAAGTGCGCTAACCACTGCGCTACGGCTGCAATACCTGAGCTAATGTGTTTACAGCCAAGTAATAAATTAATAAAATTATAGCGTAATTAAAATATAGTGAATATTCTAGCAAAAAATGTTACCTTAAAAATCCTTGTTAAGAGAAATCAATCATTTAAGTTTTCTTTCAATTTAAAACTTTTGTAATCTTATTAAATTGCATTTAATGTTAACATTTAAATACACCATAATGTTAAATGTTTTTTACGAATAAACTTATAGCTTTTACTTTTTTTTAATTTAAAAACTTATAGCCTTAATAAAACACCCGTTTTATGAGTTAACGTTATATGTATATTAATAACCAAGTAAAAGATGTTTCATTCAAATTATTTTGTATTTTGGAAGATAGTAGAGCGTTGGTAAATTTTACAATACTGTATAATGTCCTATTGGAATTGACCGCCAATGCTAATATCCTATTGGAATTTATCCCCAATGCTAATATCCTATTGGAATTGGCGGTCAAAACTAATATCCTATTGGATTTGGCGGTCAAATGCAAATACGTTAACTCTAGATTTCCAAATACAAAAACTGCCAATTTTTGACTTAAAGTTTTTTGCCAGTTTAATGATATGCGCTTTAATAAACCAGGTTGGAACCCTCAAAATAAAAAGTGTCATCAAATATTCGGCAGCCAAATACTTAGCGTTTTGGCCGAGCGTCTAGCCGATTATTTGGTATTCGGCAAAACCACTATCCTTGATATCTCTAGTTATAATAGTAAATGCTTTTGTCTTTAAACGAGCAAAAAATTGAAGATTGGAAAGTTGAATTGAATGAAAAGATAAAAGGATTTTATGATTTTCACTCGACTAAATTGACTATTAGTCGATTAGTAGGAAGTCCATAGTCGATTAAATTTACTATTCGTTTTTTTCTTTGTCGACTAGTTTTAACTTTCAACTAGTCAACTTTTAGTCGATTTACTCGAAGTCTATAACAGCACTTGAATTAATTTAATAGAAAAAAGGACAATAGTTTCTTCTTCTTTGATTTATTTGCTTGTATTGGCCAATTTTAAAGAAATTTCCGATACTTTAGTTTGTTATTTTTTCAGAGAATGTTTACTATTGGCATTGTTGTCAAATAATATTTGACCGCCAATGCTAATGTCCTATTGGAATTGACGGCCAATGCTAATATCCTATTGGAATTTATCCCCAATGCTAATATCCGATTGGAAAAGGCGATCAATACTAATATCCTATTGGAATTGGCGGTCAAATGCAAATACGTTAACTCCAGATTTCCAAATACAAATTCAAATACAAATCTATGTAATTGACATTTTCCAAATACAAATATTTGTATTTTAGGTTAAAAAATAAAAATATTTTAACAACAAAACTGATAAAATGGATTACTAAATAATAGAACTAAAACAAATTTTTTGATACTTAAAAAATTATCTCTTGTTTTTTTCCAAAAAACACCGGTCAACCTAGTTTACGGAGTGACAAATATACTTTAACCAAATACAATACGAATACAAGACAATTTAGCCTATTATTACCAAATACAAATATTTGACTCCAACCCAGGCTATTAGTAATAAATGTTATACCACCTTACATATAGATAGTTTATCAACAATATGTGCAACTTGTTTTGAAATTTTATGCCACTGAGCTGATGTCAACAAACTTATTGTATACCACTGAACTGATTTCAACAAACTTATGTATACCACTGAATTTATGTCAACAAACTTATGTATACCACTGAACTTATGTCAATAAAATTATGACTATATTTTAATCAGTTTCAATTTTATTATAATATCAAAGGGCTAAACTGCTTTTTTTTGTTTTTTTTTCCCATATGTTGTAATATAAGTGTCATTGCGCCCCCGCTCTACCCAATATTGTAATTAAAATGTAGGTTTAAACTCGAACTACGATATATACAAATTTATGTACATATATTATCACTTGTGAAAATGGTAAAACACATTTGCAAAATACATTGAAATAATCTACATTTTAATATCTTAGGTTATTTTATAAACGTGTTGATCATACAATACTGTCAGAATAACCATATAAACCTGACTAATTACAAACACTTATAAAAGTTAAAAACATCTAAAAAAATTAATTTAAGTAAAATGGTTCATCTTCGTCGTCTTGATTGTTGTTGTATTTGTCTTCAATGGAATCAAAAAACCAGAGCGTGTCATCAATAGATAGAGTTGGGAAAGATTTAACCATTAAAGATTTAGGTGGTGTAACTCTTAAAGACGATGGTTTTGTAACCTTTGAAAAATTGATTCTTTTTGATTTTTTTAAATAGCAATTTTGATCATCATCAGCTTTCTCTTTCTGAAATATGTCGCACGTTTTTGTTTGACGCATTGAAGTGGTGAAAAGACTTAAATCTTCCTTTCTTTGCAATTTTAAATTTTCTGAAGCTTTTGAGAAATCTGTTGGATTAGCAGTTTTGTGCAGATTTTGTTTTTTAACCTTTTTATTGTCAGAAAAAACTTTTTTTTCGCTGGGTGTGTTTTCAAGCTTTTTAGACAAAGAGGGTTTAGGGTTAGGTAATATGGAATTATTTTTAACTAAATTTTTATTGCGTGTTTTGGTTTTCGTAACTAATTTTTCAGATTTTTCTTTATTTTGAACCGATTTACGTTGCTTATTTGACGTACGTTGCTTGTTTATTAACTCTAGGTTTTCAAACTTAGAGTTAATTTCTGGTTGATAAGGTTTGTTTTGGTTATAAGAACTTTTATGGGTAAAAAAAATATTTTTTTCTTTCAAAGCAACAGGAGGTCTTTCAAGTTTGTTAGCCGATATGTGAGGAAAGATATCTTCTTTTATATGTAAATTTAAACTGTTATCTCCATAATACATTTTTTTGTTTGATTCAGTATTTAAAGCTAATGGGACCCGATCATCTGTTTCTATCTTATTAAAGGAGCTTGTGCTACCTTGAAGGTTAAAGTTTTTTTTAGTGATATCATTTGGATAGTTTCTTTCTTGAAGTAACCTCCTGTAAGTATTTATTTTTTTACCTAAAATCTCAATCAAAGCTTCACGTTTAAAAAACTTAACTTGTATTTGAAGTTTTTTTTTTAAATATTTTATTTCTTTCACAGCTTGTTGAAGTTTGGTTTTATAAAAAGCAATCTTATTAATCCGCTCCTGTGATTTACGCTCTTCGCTAGTTCTATGAGTTCGATCGTCGTATTCTTTTTTGCATTTAGTTCTTTCTTTCTTTAAATCTTTTTCAGCTTCAACTTTTGTTTGGTTTATTACCTGATTTAGTTGTGATTCTAATTTTTCTAATCGACGAGTAAGTTTTTCATTTTCAATTGCAAAGTATTCTTTATCACCAAGAAAACTTGCCGTAATCTTTTCTATTTTCTCTTCGCAATACTTGATTTCTTTATTGACGTTTTGACTGGAGTTTCTTTGTTCTGCCTGAATTATAGAAATCTTTTGGTTTATATCTAATAAAAAACTCTGTACCTCAGAACTGCTTGTTTGAAGATGAAACTTTGTTTCGTCTTTTACACTTTTGTTTTCTTGAATTTCGTCTTTTTTATTTCTGTTTAAATGTTTTTGACTTTTATTCGTATCTAATTTTTCTAATATGATTGGCTCATTGTTTGGCTCATTGATTGGCTCATTGTTTGGCTCATTGATTGGCTCATTGTTTATTTCAGGTTTTTTGAGATGTTTATTTTCTACTGTAGAGACAGTTTTATTGATTTTATTATCTACTGCAGAGACAATTTGAACTTTACCCTCTAAAACTGTAATTGCGATTCCATTAATTTTGCAATATGTTGATTTTACTTTTGCTGGTTGTTCAGGAAACTGATCCTCCGTAACCACCTTTATTTGGCGATCTCCGCAATTAATAATGACGGTTTTAGTTTCGTTTGTCATACTAGGTATTTTTTTATTTAAGTTTGTAGTTTCAGTTGATTTTCTTTTACTTTCGCTATTTATTTTTTTGTTAATTACTTTCTTGTTATTATTTTTTTGTGCATCCGCTAATTCAATATAATAATTTCTCTTTTTTTTGATACAATAGTTTTTCTTTTTTTTATTTAACAAACTTGTTTTTTCATCAAATTCAAAATTTTCGTTCTCACTCTTTCGTGATTTCCAATTGTTTTTAATGTTTCTCCATGCACTTTTACTGTCTTTTTTAAAAACACTCAAAGGTGTGTCCATAGGTTTGGATAGATTCAACAATCGTGCATCATTCACTGCGTTGGAGAAGTGAAAGAAGCATTTTGAAAAATAAATATTAGATTCAAAACTTTTATTTAAAATTGAGTTCGGAATAAATTGGAGCTTACTTGAAAAAAACTTTTTTTTCCAAATTTTTGCTTCCAATTTTGCTTCTTCTAATGAGATATTTAGTTTCTGAATGACTTCTTCAAACTGAGCAATCAAGAAACGATTATTTTTGCGTTCTTGGCTTCTATATTTTTCATCATCATTTTCATTGTGATCATTCAAAGTTACTTTTCGTCTCCAGTACCAAGTCATTTGTTTTTGAATATTAAAATTTTTAATTGTTTCATCGTGAATTTCTTGCAACTGACGATGCTTTTCTTGTAATAACCTTAATGACGTCAACAATGTTTTTAAAGCAGACCTTGTTTCTGATGAAGCCCTTAGTAACTTATAGTTTATATTTTCAAAATTAGAATCATGAAATAAATCTTTCTTTTCATTAACAGTTGGTTCTGGTGCTGGCCCTGATGGTGTTGTTGTTGTCTCAAGCGTTGGTGACTTTTCCTTTGCAAATCCAAAACCTTAGAGACAGAAAGTTTTTTAAACAAACAATTATTTTCATTTTATGTATTTTTTTATATATGCTTCAAAAAAAAAAGAAGTAATGCCCTGCATGTAAATAAAATAAAAATCCAAACGTTAATTTAATTGAAAGTTTCTAAAATTTCCAAAATCGGTTGGATTTTGTTGAATTAGTTTTTACGGAAAAATGACGGGAATTTTTTACACAACTCTTGGTTCTTTGCCTTCTAAAATTGATATCCGTAAATAGGGTTTATGCCTTCTAAAATAGGGTCTTCTGTGTCTGGTTTAGGTTCAGGGTCTCAAATACGGGTCTTCTGGGTCTGGGTCAGGGTCTAGGGCCTTCTAAAATAGGGTTTAATCTTACTAGAGTCTATACCTTTTAAAAATGATATCCATATATAAATATTGGTTGCTAATCACATATTGTGTACACTTTTTTTTATTTCACTTTATTTTTCACAGTATTGCGTACACTTGCACTTTGTTCATTTGAAAACAAAATAACAACTAATTGCGTAAACCTAGTCCACTTGAAAATAAAATAAATTAACAAAGCAACAAAAAGTTTTTTAAAACTTCTTCTACAACAAAACAGGTTTATATCAAACCAGTTATTGGATTTATTCAGTTTTAAAGTAGGAACTCATACAATAAATTCAACGTGATATATACAATCGAATCTGTGATAAAACTCCTTTATTAATACGGTCTTAAGTTTTTAGGCCGTCTAATTTTCTCTAATAAAAATTAAGTGTTAAAGTTCCACATCTTGTTGTTGATTATAGGATAAGCCTAAAATAATATCAACCCATACTAGTTTTAAGAAGAAATTTTTTTCCCTTTTTGAGTTTTAGTGGCTTATTCTACCCCACTATTATTTAATAAGGTTTCTTAGATTAAAATTTTTTTAAATTTATACGTACGAGAGTATTGTTAAGTATAGAAAAGCACAAAGTTAAGTACTGAGTAGCAGACAATGTAATGAATTTGTTTAAGAAGTACTGTGACTTACAAAGATAAAAATATTTGATATCTTTAATAAACCAGATAAAATTACTCTAAATTAAAAAAAGAATGATAATTAATAATAATATTATAAGCAGTTTCTTTAGTTATTTTTTGTTACATTACTGGTCTAGAGCAGTAGAGTAACCACCTTTAAATAAATTTGAAACATTTTTATTTTATAGTTCAGAATGAGAAAAAAAAATAAGAAAGTTTGAGATTTTTTAAATGACACAAAGTAAGCTATTTAAATTTAGAGAAAGAACTCAATCCTCAGCACAATAAACTAAGCAAAACTTCTAGATTCTGATCTAAAAACGCAAAATTTAAAATTTTTAATTGGCCAAAGAGAAGAGAAAAATGTAATTATTCGCTAAAAAGACACAATGTTTATAAATAGAGTGTTTATAATGTTTATAAACAGAATGTTTATAATGTTTATAAACAAATTTATAAAGATCACTTTATGAAAAAATTGACGAACGCAATGATGAACTGGATTTAGGAAAAAACAGTTACTACAAGCAACAAACAAAAAACAAAAAAAAAATAGTACAAGAAAATGAAGATGAGAATGAAAAAAATTATCAAAAAACAAAAATAACCACTTAAGGACTAAAACATGAAACTGAAGAAACTAAGAATTTCATTGATGACTTTGATATTACAGGTATGAAACAAAAATCTTTGTTCTCTACAATCTTAAAGAAAGACAAAGTTGATGATAAAACTGATTGTAACTTTTTCTTATTCAATTCAAAATTGGTCTGTATTATTTGATCGAATTGTAGTTAAGTTTAAACTGCTGAAACCTTTACTTGCTTTTTTTTCACTGCAATGAAAAAATAATGAAGAATTAGTTAGATATACTAAAATATTACGTAGCTGTTCTGGTTAATGGGGCACTAAACTACACTGAGAAAAAGATTTTAATTGTACTTTTACTTGTTAAAAAAGATGAAAACACAAAATGGAGAAGCAAAAGCTAAAGAAGTTTTTTACCCAGGAAAAAAAGTTCTATAGAATTTTATATAAACTTTTGAAACATATGGCCTTTAGAAATTCTATTGAATTCTATAGAGTTTCTATAGAGTTTCTGTTAACTTCCATAAAAGTTCCTAATAAAATTTTTTTTCTACTTTTTTTTTTTATAGAAAAAAAAGTTTTATAGCAGTTTCTATAGGAATTAATAGACAATTTATAAAAATTCTATAGAGTTTCTATAGGCCATATGTTTCAAAAGTTTATAGAAATTTTTAGAGAACTTTTTTTCTTAGGGAAATAAGAACTGGAAGAATGCAAGAGATAATACTTTTTTCTTTACCTTGTAGGCACCATGTATTCAAGCTCTAAGTTATGGTTGCTTGGTATTAAATGTTTAAAACAGTCTAGAATAGGAGACGGTAACCCGAGGCTCGCGAGCCGCATTTTTATCCAAATTCTTTTATCCCTCTTTTATCCAAGTTATGTGGTTCTTTAACATGTCTGAATTATATGTGTTAATTTTATTAAAACAAACAAAAAATTTAATTTATTTAGTAAAAATATTTTTTCGAAAATTTCATTTTTGTGATAAAATAATGATTTATAGTTGCATAAAGTTATATTAAAATAAAGTACGAAATTATTTTTTAGTTTTGCTAAAACACAGGCGTAATTCCTTAAAAGCGTGTGAATAAAAATTTGCACGCAAAAATTTCTACTTAAAAACTGTTAATTTTTGAATGTAGTGCTTAAACATAAAATAGAATCAGTTTGAAAACAGTATTGTTAGATAAGAAATGGAAGTTAATCTAACTACATTAAACCGTGACCTAGCTACTTTTAGGCATCACTTTAGTTTTGCCAAACATTTCTCTTTAAGATTCCAGTTGTAAAAGGTAGTAAAAATAATCAAAAGCATTAAATTTTTGAGAATTTTTTTTATTACTTGATGAAGTTAATCAAATATTTTCTGATCCGGTACTGTAATACAGTCTGTATAAAAATGTCTGTTGTTTACACAGGTGGTGTTCTTACACCACACAGGTGGTGTTCTTACACCACACAGGTGGTGTTCTTACACCACACAGGTGGTGTTCTTACACCACACAGGTGGTGTTCTTACACCACACAGGTGGTGTTCTTACACCACACAAGTGGTGTTCTAACACCACACAGGTGGTGTTCTTAAACGGTTTGGCCTCTGTATCGATATTAAAACAGTTTTTGTCATCAAAAGCTTTCGAATACCCGGAGAAAAAAAAAGCAATTGATTACAAAAATTTTATTATGCATGAGTTATGACAGCTTAACATCTACATAGCATCTCAATAAGATATTGCAAGGACGAGATAGTAATGCAATTTTGACTTTAGAAAATAAAGTTTCTTATGAGTTTTAAATATCTGTCTTATTTTAAGATATTAGTAATCAAAATTTTATAAAGTTTTATTAAAATTAGTTATTTTTTTGCTGCTATCGAAAAAATGAAAGATTTTTTTTTTGCCCATTGTTTTACAGAGTTCAGCAAGCAAAAAATTTACTTTGTAAAATGTGACACATCCATTTATTGTAAATAGCAAAGAAATAAATTTTAAGCCGTTTCAAAAAGTTATTATAATACAACTTGAACTTCAGATTTGAAATAAAATAACTTTTGCAAACAGACTTTCAATAACAGATTTGAAATCAAATAAACTTTGCAAACAAAAAAAAACTCTGAAAAAAATGCAGAATAGTTTAAAGAAGATCATAAATTGAAAGAACTTTCAACTTCTCAAAAACAAGATCAGGTTATATTTGAAACATGGAATAGTCTTTCTGATTGAAACAACCAACTTAAGCTCGTGGCATTTAAATTCTTGACAGTTTTTTGGATCAACATAGTATTGTGAGCAGAAATAACATAGACATTGCTAAAAGTATATATTTAAATTAGTAATAGATTTGAAAGTGGTAAAAACTAAAGACCTCCATTTATTTCAAACTTTTGAAACATATGGCCTATTATTTTCAAACTTTTGAAACATATGGCCTATAGAATCTCTATTAGTTTCTAAAAAAACTCCCTTAAAACTTTTTTTTCTATATTTATATTAAAAAAAGTTTTATAGCAATTTCTATAACAATTAATAGATATTCTATAGAAATTTTATAGAATTTCTATAGAATTTCTATAGAACGTTAGTTTTTTGCTAATATCAGTGGATTCTATGAAAACCTTCACTAATGATGCAACTGCAGAAATCTCAAAACATGATTATGTTGATGTGAAGAAATTCTTGATTTCTACAAAAAACTGTTCCTGATAAAAGAATAAAAAAAGAGATGACACAGAGACATGGCAAAGGTTTTTTAAAAAAAAAAACTATTTTAGTGTTTAACTTTTATGCTTTTACATTACAAGATACATTAACTGTACTAAGAACACACATTTAACACAAGATTGTGTTTTGCCTGTTTTTTGTCAAGCTTAGCAATAAGGGGTCGTCCATAAATTTATGGACTTTATAAAGTACATATGTCAAAAATTTTGAAATTTGACCCAATACCCTTCTCCCTGTTGCCATGCGTACTTCTAAGTCCTCCGCGCCTCCTCCTTAAAAGTACGTACGTTTTTGAAATCGTTTTTGAAAAAAAAAAATTTTTTTCGATGAAAAAGTTTATGAAAAAAAAAAAAAAATGGAGGAGGTACCTTAGATAAGCTCTTTGTTTGCGGCACAGGATTCTAATTTAAAAAACGTTTTCAAATATATATGCAAATATTAGTTTTAATAAAGTTAAATTAAACATTTTTAATGAGTTCGTTGGCTGAACGGTTAATACTATGAACTTTGGCGACGGAGACCGTTGTTCGATTCTCTGTCGAGTCGTATAGCACTTTTTTTGTTTTAATGACGAATCAAATAAAAATATACTCAAAGCGGACGTTTTTTTCAGACACGCCTCTTTTGTAAGTCCGTAAAAAATGAGTCCTACTCGAGATCAGTAATATCGCAAACAAAGCCTAAAACCCAGTGCCGAGGATAGGCTACCCGTACCCCTTAATTTAAGGTGGGAAGGGGGGAGAAGAAGGGGGTAGAAATTTCGTATCCTTCTGCTAATTTAAGGAGCTATTTTTCAGCGAAACCTAGCGGTAAAATTTGGGAGATTTTCAACCCCAAATAAAGCATTTTTTTGGGGGGAGGGCCTCCGACCTATCAGACACGGCAGTGCTAAATCCTAGTTTTTGTCGATTAAAAAATTAGGTTGCTTGAAACACGCCTTAGGTTGCTTGAAATACGCTTTACTCAGGGCCAGTATATAATGGGTGGCATGTGTGCATCGGCTCCCGCAGGATTTTTTGTTGTTCTAGATAGGACACTTTCACATATTTCAAGCTTGACCCTGACGGAACCCTGACGGATACCAAATGTATGAAATTTGTGCAAGCTCTAAAACTTAAGTTTACCTATGCCAAATGAGCAGACCTTACAAAAAATTGGAATGGCGGAGGCCTGGGAACAAAAAAAGCCCTAAAACGCTTGGTCCCCCTCCCCCCCCCCCCCAAAAAAAAAAAAAAAAAAAAAAAGAAAACGTCAGGGCACTAATGTACTTAAATTTCAACTTTGCCACTCTAAAACTAAATTTAAATTTATCGATAGATTTTAAAATTCGTAGAAAAATATTGTAAATTACAAAAGTTATGACCATGCAAAATTTACACCCCCTTATTATTATTATTTTTTTTTTTGCGGGGAGAGGGCGTTTAGGGCTCCCAGGCTTCCGCCATTTTTTGCTCCCAGGCCTCCGCTTTCGTTATTTTTTACAAGGCCTCCTCATTAGGCATAGGTATAAATATACATAAGTTTGGAGTTTGCACAATGTGTGAAAGTGTCCTATCTGGAACATCAAAAAATCCTGCGGACCCCCATGCATGTGTGTGCATTGAGGAAAACTATACCTTCTATTCCCTAAACCAAACATCTTTTTATGTTGGCAAACTAGGATCTTTACTCAGAATTTTAACTTTTCTTTTGATTAGCTGGTTAATTGTGATAAATTAGAAAATCGATGTACGGACTTTAATATTGAACGCCCCCTCCCACCCCATACGCTTTCGTACGCTTTTTGAAAACCTCCCCCCTCCCCCTCCACCTATGAGCGTACGTATTTTATGGACGACATCAAATGAAAAATCTACAATAACGTTTTTTGTTTCACAAACTTCATATATCTGATTTTTTGTTTCACAAGCCTAATATACCTGAATTCTACAAACTTAAAAAGCGTCTAAAACTTGTTATTTTAGAAAAAAGTGAATTGCTTGACCTTGATTTCTGCTCATTTGTTAAAATTTTTTCACCAGCCTTGAAATAAACTACAAGTAGCTTGAAGTTTATTCTGAACTTTATGACTGTTATTAGAAATTCAGAATTCATTTTAACTCCTCCATCCAGCCCCATTTTTTTCCAGCCACCTTCTACTTATACAAGTACAAATTAACGAGGCAATAACTCCAACCAATATGGAGGAATTATTACAAAATTTCAGTTAATCTAAGTTTGGATTTTTATTGTCCTATTAAATGTAGGCCCATATGCAGAGCGGAACATTATTATTTTTACAAATCTTATTTTTTTATTTATAATGTAAACTTTATAAATAAAAAAATAGCAGTTTTTGAATGTGAAATTTTCAATTGACATACCGTTCCCAGCATGCACTGCAACAATAATGCTGATGCAAAAAAAAATAGCTAAAGTTGAAGTTTTCATTGTCATGACATCTTTGGTGTTATCAATATGTTCTCCAAAATCATACGAGGCTTTTTCAAACAAACTTTTTATTCCGTATTCTTCATCATCCGAGTCAACTAATGATTTATCCTGAGTAAGATTACTGCGCGCATATTTTGTAGGAATAAAATTTTTTTCATAAGGCTCAAAAAGTTGTTCACAGGAACATTCAGAAACGCAGAACCGCAAGCAAACTAAAGATATAATTTTAATAATAGTTTTAAAACTAACAATAAACCGTAATTAAAAAAACAACAAATATATATTGCAATTAAAACCTGTTACCTTTATTTTCGTTAATTTCTCCTATGTTGATCTTTTCCTTTTCAATAAGATTTTCATTTCCTTCAAACAACCCTGCGTGCCAATTTTCATCAAAAATGATTTCTAATGATTCGTTGTTAATTTTTTTATCTTCTTCAATATCAATTTCCTTAAATTTACGATTACTGGTAGATTGAACGTTACTTGTTTTGACTAAAACTTCAATGTCAGAATCTTCTAAAAAAAAATCTTCATTGAGTAGTTCTTTAAATCCTTCGAAAGATAATTGCATAGGTTGACATGTATCGGAATCATTTTGCATAAGAAAATTGTGATTTGGAACGTTTAAACTATGTTGAGGGTTACAATTTTCATCCGGACATAGAACAACTTCAATTTCGGAATCGGAAAAATTGTCTGAAAATTTTTCGACTAAACAATGCTTCTTTATATTATCTTTTAATGAGTTTTTTTGAACATCTTTTTGTTTTTTAAAAACAACTTCAAAATCCATATCATTTTCTTCATTTTTCTCTTCTTCGCTCCAAAAAGAACTGTGATTTTTCTACAATAACAAAAACAGTATATAAAGATTAACACTTTTATTAAATATTTATAGAGATAACAAACTGAACTTTTTTAAATTTAATTTTTCTTTACAATTATATATCATTATATATGAATTGTGAAATCTTCTCAGAGAAATCTAAACTCTATTTTGAGGACCTAAAGGGTTACATTCACTTACACACACACACACACACACACACACACACACACACACACACACACATACACACACACACACACTCACACATTGTTTCAACATACCGATGACGTAATAATGACGTAAATCAGAAAAAATTTTATTATTTATACATTTATATTAATTTGCTAGCTATAGTTTTTTTTATATAATTAATCTATTCTTATAAAAATATTTTAAAGTCTTATATATTCTTATAAAATTCTTATAATTTTTTAAAAAATATTTTTGTTGTTGTCATATATAAATACGTCTTTTATTTAATCAGGGGTCTGAAAAAATAAATAATTAGCCAAAGCCATTCAAAACTTTGTTTTGCTAACTTTTTACTCGTTCAGTATGGTCAGATCTGGCTAACGCTGGCTTTTCGGATTTAAAAAATAGTAGCGACGTTTTGAAATTAAATAAGCTTTTACTTTGTACGTTGTTGAAATAAGCGTGTTTGTACGTTGTACCTTGTACGTTGTTGAAATAAGCGGGTTTGTACGTTGTTGAAATAAGCGTGTTTGTACGTTGTACGTTGTTGAATAAGCACCTTTGTACGTTGTTGAAATAAGCATGTTTGTACGTTTTCTAATTGTCGCTATTATTGAGGATACTTTGCCAAATTGTAAATTCTTTCAATTGATAATTTGATACGTCTCCATAAAATATGCATGTGATATATAAAATTATTAATATAAAAATAATTAACAAAGTATTCAAATTTAGTAAGTCAAAACTGTTTTGACTATAACAGCCTTTAAATGAAAAATTTCGTTAATAAGGGAGGATAGGTAGGAGTGAGCCAAGGGTAGGAGTGAATAATTGATACTACAGCTAAAACGGGAAATGAAAAAGACTCAAAATTTTCACTAAGTAGTTACATACAAACTGTTGTTGACACAATCCAATTTTTTTTACTGCTTCTTGGTGCGGGTGTCTGTGTTTACGTTGTCATCCACTCTTTTTTAAGCAAAAGTAAACTTTTTGTATCTTATGAAATTTCTTTAACGAGCATACCGGTTATTTTTAGACATTAGTCGTTCATAATTTACTTATAAACAATGTAGTTTTTAGAACATTTAATATTTTAATCCAGTTGTACAGCTTGGGGAAAAATGAGCCATTCGTTTACGGGTAGGAGTGAACTGCGGCTTACTAATACTTCACGTTAAAAAAGTTTTGACTTTAGCGTAAAAACATATTTAAGTTTAACTTTTATATATTAGTATATCATTAGAAAACTCGTGTGCAACATTATATTTACTTTTACCATATGTTATAACGCCTCGAGTCTATAAAAGAACAACTTCGAAAGAAAAAACTTCCAGTAAATATATGAAAGATGCATTACATTTAATCCAAAAAGGAAAAAGTATTTAAGAAATTGCGATAACTTCAAAAATGTTGCTACACCGGTCAACCTTTTCTGGAACAAGTTAAAGGCAGCATGGCCATTACAAATTTGAGGTTGTGTTTGACTATATCAGTATTTGCAAAATATTATTTTTATTACCATTATACTATATGCTAATATACTACTTTCATTGCATATATATATATATACTTTTATTATATCTTAATAATTGAAAATTTTCATTTGTCATGACAGTTTTTTGTTTTGTTGTCAAAATCAGTTGTTACTGAAAACAAATTATTTTTCTGGTAGTTTATAAATTTTGTTTATTTAATTAAATGAGTTTAAAATTGTGTTAAATTTATTGCAATTTATGTTACATTGTAACTTAATTATGTTATGCTTAATTATAAAGTATTTGTTACTTACTTAATTTTCAATAAATTAGTTAAAGAAAATATCTAATTTTAGTTTTCTGGTAATCAAAGATAATGGCTCACTCCTATCGTTTGCTTGGTTTACTCCTACCCATGCATGGGTAGGAGTGAACCAGTTGCAACACATGCGTTATTGTCCAAGTTATTAAAAATCTGAAGATATTTTGATATTTCATATTAGAAACCTAATACATTAGGCTATCTTAGGCTCCTTATCCTATATTTTTTCCATTTTTAGTTTCCTTGATATAATCGACTTAAAAAAATGTGGCTCATTCCTACCCATTCTCTCTTACTTCGTGAATATAGTTTGGTGAGTATAGTTTTTCGTTAATACTTCGTGAAGTTTGTTATCAAAAGTTCAGAATTTTGTTAATACTTTGTGAGTTTGGTATCAAAAGAATTTTTCTATTCTATTTTAACATGTTTTTGTTGGCATTATAACATCTTGTGATAAGAATAACATCTTGTGATAAGAATAACATCTTGTGATAAGAAATTCTAATCTATGTATAACAAAAATTAAAATCATATAAAATATGTATATTTATATTAATATTCAAACTTTATCATTTCATTGGTTAACCGTGGTTACTCAGAGATATCCGATGAAATAATAAAATACAGTGGGAAAAACATTCTGGTATGTGTCAAACCAGATATTAATACAATTCGGCAATCAAAAAATAATACAGTTCGGCAAGGTTCCTTATTACTTCAATATTGGCAAAGTTATTTCAATCGTAAAGTGTGCAAACGCAAATGCAGACAATCTGAATATTATCAAGATATCAGATGAAATCACAAACATATTTGAAAAAATGAACATAAGTTGCAGTTTGGTTTTAAAAACAAATTAGTTTTTTCAATCATGCTATTTATGTACAAAAGGAGCTAATTGTTGTAACGCCTTAAATATATCAATATAAATAAGTAAGTACCTTCAATGTAAGTTTTAAATGTAAGTACTATTGATGAAAGTTTTAAATGGAAAGTAAATTGACAGATCTGAGCTGTTTGCTTTACTAATGATTAGTTGGATTCAAAGAGGCCTCGTGTAACTTTGGTTATTTTTATGCTAAAGACAATGATAAGAGAGATTGAAAACGCAAGATTTGGAAACAATATGAATAGAATTTTAGCAGGGGTAATTATGTATGCAGATGATCTATTTTGTTTTGTATTTTGTTTTGTATTTTGTTTTGTATTTTGTTTTGTATTTTTGTTTTGTATTTTGTTTTGTATTTTGTTTTGTGATCTAATTTGTAGATATGGTAAAAGTTTACAATATCTGCAAACATATTACATTAAGTCAGTACAATCAGCATATTACATTGAGCCTTGAATATTAATTTTGCGTTACGTACTTCATTTAAGTTTTGAATTTGCTTTATAAAAGTTTATACTATTTATTTTATCTTTAAGAAATTGACCACAGCTTGCTGGAATTGCAGTGTGCGCATATGTACAAAAAAACAGTATTACAAACAAAAGCTTCACTTGTTAGCATGGATTTATTTTATATCTTCATTATAAATCTATATGTCTGTGCGTTTTATATAATGTTGACCCAGGAAAAATAGTTTAATAGAATTTCCGTAACAAATACGTAACAAATCCTATGGTTAAAGAAAATGGAAAAATCACAATTTTCCATTTTCTTTAACCCGTACGAATAAAGAATTTTTGTCAATTTAATCAATTCATGCTCAATGTAGTTGAGGAGAGATCTATAACCCAATGTAGTTAGATACATCTTAGATACGTTGAATACAACAGATTTTTTTTTTAGAGTGTATGTTCCAGTTAAATCTAGTTTCCAAGACGAAAAGCGTCAAAGATTTACGTTATTCTTTTACCAGGTTGAGAAAGTATTTATTAAAATATCAAAGATTTTTGAAACCTTTTTATTTGTTTCTCCTTTCTTCAATTCTAGTAGAGCTTCGTACTTCTTCTTCAGATTAGTTTCTTTATGCAGTCTATTTGATTCTATGAATTTTTTTTTTTAAATAAAAAAAAAAAAAAGAAGAAGAAGAATTCAAGCTAATCATTATAAAAAAAAACTCAAAATATTTTGGATTTGATCGAAAGAGAGAGAGAGAAAGAGAGTGGTTACAAATTTTGTATGGTCATAATTTTTAAACACTTAGTGTTTATTGCATGAAATTAAAAACTTGTTGACGAATATAAATTTATTAAAGAACATAAAATAAATTATCAACTTGTTGCTCTCACCTTTGGAACAGCTTTTTTTTTTTTTTTATCAAAAACACCAAAAAATCTGGAACATTTAAATAAAATATATGTTCTAAATAAATGATACGTAATCATAAAATTATGTTGAAGAAAAACAATGATGTTTATATAAATCTTTATAAAAATAATTTAGAAATCGCAATTGGTTTTGAAAAACAAAAAAAAAACTAGTTTTGAAAATAAAGTTTTATTTAAGAAAGTCTATCCAGGCATTACACTCCATTAGAACTACACCTTTTCAAGATGTAATTGAGAAAACAAAAATTGTAATTAAGAATCGTAAGACGTAATTGAGAAAACAAAAGTTCTAATTAAGAAACGTAAGATGTAATTGAGAAAACGTAAGTTGTAATTAAGAAACATAAGATGTAATTTAGAAAACGAAAATTGTAATTAAGAATCGTAACATGTAATTGAGAAAATGTAAGTTGTAATTAAGAAATAGAAAGATGTAATTGAGAACACGAAAATTTTAATTTAGATATCGCTTTAAAGGAGTAAGTGTAAAATGGCGCTTAAAAAAAATGGCGCGTAAAAAAATGGAGCGTATAAAATGACGCACTTAAAAATGACGCAAGATTTGTAGCGTAAATTTAATTTTTTAGGGAAAAATTTATAATTTTTGGGCAAATGAATTTAACATAATAAACACTAAAAACATTTTAGAGAAAAATTTATAATTCAATTAAAAATTATAATAAAAAATTATATAATTAAAAATCACTTCATTGATCATTTAAGCACCAACTTGTACGTCTTCCATATTT